GCTGAAGTTGCTTATCAGCTTAAGGAGATTTTGGGCTGAGATGATGAGGTTTCCTAAATATATAATCATGTAATCTGCACACAGAGGCAATTTGATTTCCTCTCTTCCTATTTGAATACCCTTTAATTCTTTTTCTTACCTGATTGTCGTGGCCAGAACCTCTAATAATATGTTGAATAGGTGTGGTGATAGAGGGGATCCTTGTCTTGTGCCAGTTTTCAAAGGGAATGCTTCCAGCTTTTGCCCATTCAGTATGATATTGGCTGTGGGTTTCTAATAAATAGCTCTAAATATTTTGAGTTATGACAGTATGGTGATTCATATCTACTTTATTAAGAATTTTTAGCATGAAGGGGTGTTGAATTTTGTCAAAGGCCTTTTCTGCATCTATTGTGATAATTGTGTTTTTCTGTGATTGGTTCTGTTTATGTGCATCGATTATGTCTATTGAGCTGCATATGTTGAACCAGCCTTGCATCCCAGGGATAACAAACCTGATTTGATCATGATGATAAGAATTTTGATGTGCTGCTGAATTCATTTGGTCAGTATTTTATTGAAGATTTTGGTATGGATTTTCATCAGGAATATTGCCTGAAATATTATTTTTTTGTTGCATGTCTGCCTGACTTAGGTATCAGGATGATGCTGGTCTTATAAAATGAGTTGGGGTGGAGCCCCTCTTTTTCTATTGTTTGGAATAGTTTCAGAAGGAATGGTACCAGCTCTTCTTTGTACCTCTGGTAGAATTTGGCTCTGAATCCCCCTGATCCTGGGTTTTCTTTGATTGGTAGGCTATTAATTACTGCCCCAATTTCAGAACTTGTTATTGATCTATTCAGGGATTTGACTTCTTCCTGATTTAGTCTTGGGAGGGCGTATGTGTCCAGGAATTCATCCATTTCTTCTAGATTTTCTGGTTTATTTGTATAGAGGTGTTTATAGTATTTCTCTGTTGGTAGTTTGTATTTCTGTGGGATCGGTGATATACTCTTTATCATTTTTTTTATTGTGTCTATTTGAGTCTTCTCTCTTTTCTACTTTATTAGTCTGGCTAGCAGTCTATCTATTTTGTTGATCTTTTCAAGAAACCAGGGTCTTTCATGTCTCTGTCTCTTCAATTCTGCTCTGATCTCAGTTATTTCTTGTCTTCTGCTGGCTTTTGAAAGTGTTTGCTCTTGCTTCTCTACCTCTTTTTTTTTTTTTTTTTTTTTTTTTTGAGACGAAGTTTCACTCTTGTTACCCAGGCTGGAGTGCAATGGCGCAATCTCGGCTCACTGCAACCTTCGCCTCCAGTGTTCAGGCAATTCTCCTGCCTCAGCCTCCTGAGTAGCTAGGATTACAGGCACGCGCCACCACGCCCAGCTAATTTTTTGTATTTTTAGTAGAGGTGGGGTTTCACCATGTTGACCAGAATGGTCTCCATCTCTTGACCTCGTGATCCACCCGCCTCGGCCTCCCAAAGTGCTGGGATTACAGGCTTGAGCCACCGTGCCCGGCCTCTCTACCTCTTTTAATTGTGATGTTAGGGTGTCGATTTTAGATGGTTTCTGCTTTCTCCTGTGGGCATTTAGTGCTATAAATTTCTTTCTAAGTACTCCTTTGGCTGTGTTCCAGAGATTCTGGTACATTGTATCTTTGTTCTCATTGGTTTCAAATAACTTATTTATTTCTGACTTAATTTTGTTATTTACCCAGTAGTCATTCAGGAGCAGGTTGTTCGGTTTCCATGTCGTTGTGTGATTTTGAGTGAGTTTCTTAATCCTGAGTTCTAATTTGATTGTACTGTGGTCTGAGAGACTGTTTGTTATTATTTCCATTCTTTTGCATTTGCTGAGGAGGTGTTTAATTCCAATTATGTAGCCAATTTTAGAGTAAGTGTGATGTGGTGCTTAAAGAATGTATATTCTGTGGATTTGTGGTGTAGAGTTCTGTAGCTGTGTGTCTGAGTTCAAGTCCTGAATATCCTTGTTAATTTTCTGTCTGGTTGATCTGTCTAACATTGACAATGGGGTGTTAAAGTCTCCCACTATTATTGTGTGGGAGTCTACGTCTCTTTGTATGTCTTTAGGAACTTGCTTTATGAATCTGGGTGCTCCTTATTGGGTGCCTATATATTTAGGATAGTTAGCTCTTCTTGTTGCATTGATCCCTTTATCGTTATGTAATGCTCTTCTTTGTCTTTTTAAAATTTTGTTGGTTTAAAGTCTGTTTTGTTAGAAACTAGGATTGCAACCTCTGCTTTTGTTGCTTTCCATTTGCTTGGTAAATATTCCTCCATCCCTTTATTTTGAGCCTTTATATGTCTTTGCACATGAGATGAGTTTCCTGAATATAGCATACTAATGATCTCGACTCTTTATCCAGTTTGCCATTCTGTGTCTTTTAATTGGGGTATTTATCCCATTTATATTTAAGGTTAATATTGTTGTATGTGAATTTGATCCTTTCATTATGATGCTAGCTGATTGTTTTGCCCATTAGTTGACGTAGTTTCTTTGTAGTGTCAATGGTCTTTATAATTTGGCATGTTTTTGCAGTGGCTGGTACCAGTTTTACCTTTCCTTATTTAGTGCATTCTTCAGGAGCTCTTGTAAGGCAGGCCTGGTGAAACATAATGACTAAAATTTAAAAATAGTGACAATACAAATCTTGGTGAGAATACAGAATATCTGAACCAATCATGCATTGCTGCAGGAAATAAAAATTGGTTCTACTACTATATTAGTCAGAGTTCTCTAGAGGGACAGAATTAATGAAATATAGATATATATTTATATATAATATACATTATAGATTTAAATTTATATATCTATAAAGGGGAGTTTATTAAGTATTTACTCACATGATCACAAGGTCCCACAATAGGTCATCTGCAAGCTGAGGAGCAAGGAGAACCAGTCTGAGTCTCAAAACTGAAGAACTTGGAGTCTGATGTTTAAGGGTAGGAAGCACACAGCACAGGAGAAAGATGTAGGCTGAGAGGCTAGGCCAGTGTAGTCCTTTCAGGTTTTTCTGCCTGCTTTATATTTCAGCCATGCTGTTGACTGATTAGATGGCAACACTCTCACAGACACACCCAAGATCAATACTTTGTATCCTTCAATCCAATCAACTTGACCCTCAGTATCAACCATCACAACTCCCTTGGCAGTTTCTTAGCTTCTATCATACAACCTAATAATTTCACTCTTAGGAATTATCATAGAGATATGAAATTTTACATTCATATAAATACATGTACATGAATATTCATAGCAATGTATTTTGCAAATTTAAAAACTGGAAACTATCGAAATATTCTTTGATGGATGAATGGTTAAATAACCTGTGGAATATTCATGTTATGGATACTATCTACAAATAATAAAGAATAAATTATTAATACAAGAAAAAATTTGATATATCTCAAGGGAATAATCTGAATGAAAAAAGAAATTTCAAGAGATAATATAAAATGTCTCTTATATACATATTACCAAAAATAATATTACAAAAATGGAGACTAGATTAGTGTTTGCCAGGGATTAGAAATTAGGAGTAAGGTAGGTCAGTATACTCTATAACCATAGTATATAGTTTCCTTGTGGTCATTAAATAGTTCATGTATATGATTATGTATGTCAATTTTTGTGTTGGGCACACAAAGCTATATGTGAAATCACAAATGTAAATCAGTTTATATAAAAATTGGTAACATCCAAAGTTTTGGAAATGAATAATAATGATGGTTGCATAGCAATATGGATGTACTTAATTCCACTGAAAAGTAGGTTTAAAAAGCATTAAGATCACCAGGCATGGTGGCTCACACCTGTAATCTTAGCACTTTGGGAGGCTGAGGTGGGAGGATTACCTGAGGTTGGGAATTTGAGACCAGCCTGACCAGTGTGGAGAAACCCTGTCTCTCATGTGGTGGCACATGCCTGTAATGCCAGCTACTCAGGAGGCTGAGGCAGGAGAATTGCTTGAAGCTGGAAGGTGGAGGTTGTGATGAGCCAAGTTCATGCCATTGCACTCCAACTTGGGCAACAAGAGCAAAATTCCATCTAAAACGAACAAACACACACAAAAAAAGCAGTTAAAAACAAACAAACAAAGAACGTTAAGCTCATAATTTTTATATTGTGTATTTTACTACAATAAAAATGTTACAATAATAAATTGTGAAAAAATTGAAATTAGGTAAACCACTTACCTACATAGTAAGAGATAAAATAAAATTATTTCCACCTAACTATGTTATCCTTCCTTGTGTTAACTCCATACTGATGGGCAAAAATACGTCTGGCTTTTCATTTAGTCTCCCTAAGCCATAAAGTTTTTCTAAGAAACAAAGTGTAGAAAAGTCAATAAATAAATGCATTTTGATTGTTTTTATAAAGTCATAAGTGTGATTGTTTTGCCTGATACTTCTAAATCATACTAAAATAATAAAACATAGCCATATATTCATATTTTGCTTTTTATTTAGAGTCCTTAGTTTCCTAAGAAACTGACTTTTTAGTTTTTCCTGTGTGTTTGTTTTGACCTGAATCTTAAGAGCAGAAAACTAGAAGTAGACAGAACTAATATTGGCAATTGGCTGTTACTAAAAATATTGTGATTCCTATTTTTTTCTGTTTTCCTTCACTACAGTAATTCAACCGTCTTCCCAAAGGCTATGATATGGAATAGTCATATTGCCAAGACTTCACCAGCAAAAGATCTAGAGTAGAAATGTGCTTTATAACCCTGTGTTATCCCCGAATGCATTGTAAATGTCAAGCTTTTGGAAAAACGAGCCCATGTGGCCGAAGCTCAGGCTCCCAGTGCAGCCAGCTGTGGTTGGGCGCGCCGGGCTGCAGGCTCCACCTGCCTCGGAATCCACCGAGTGGGTCCCCGCTGTGCACCACAGACCCCACCGCCCTTCGGCTCCGCTCGGCCTCCACCACCTTGGCCGCGAGCTGAACCGTTCCAAGGGAAACGGCCATCTCTGTGGCTGGGCCACCGGCCACGCAATGCTGTCCCTCTTGCTGATCCTAACAGGCCTGAGCCTTCTGACCACTGCGGGCCCGAGTAAGTGAAAAGCCCTGCAGGAGAGGAGGCCGCCTTTCCCCTTTGGCCTTTTGCAGGGCCCAGAAGCTCAGGCCAGGCTAGGGAGGGGACCCTCAGAGCCGTCCACAAGTGTGGGACCCCGGGTTGCATCAGGAAGGGGGATGCCAGATAGGGTCTGAGACCTGCAGCCCACACTACTCCCACACAGGACTGAGGTCACCAAGCCCTTGGGTAGGGTAAGGTAAACCTCCCACACCTGGAAGAGCCTCTTCTTGGAAATGGACAGTGTGTGTGTGTGTGTGTGTGTGTGTGCGTGTGTGTGTGCGTGTGTGTGTGTGTGTTTTAAGAAAGGACGCTGTGACATGATACACTGGGAGTGCTCACATACGCTCTTCCTCATGCAGATTCTGAAACACCCGTTCTGCAAATTACAGTACCACGGAAGATCCAGACAAACACCGATGATGGCGATGTTTCAGAAACACATGTAATTAAGAGATCACCTTTTAAAATTATGGTGTTTTGTTTTTCTGGACTATGTGGCCCCAATCAATTCATACATATCCCTTTGTGAAATTCATACATATCCCTTTTGTTTGTGTTCTAATTTACTGTGCTAAGGAATCATTTGGTCTGAATGACAGTAAGAGTTTTATTTTTTTCATTTCTCAATTAATATATGAATGTTAGATAACTGTTTTAAGATAGAGATTCAGAAAAAGAATCCCCAAATTTCTGTAACACAAAGGAACATATACAGTCTACTGGGTTCTTTTAGAAAATATGTACATTTAAGTCTGTATTATTATATAATTTAGGTTATATTAATTTTTACTGAGCAACATGTTTTTAACATAACAATATATAAGGACTATCTTCACATCTATACATATATATATAAATCCTTTGTAAAAATGAAAGGTATTTTATCTTTCATCTGATTAGAGTAGGAAAGTAGATACATTGTAAAATTACATTGAGGTGGTACAGAGAATTCTGAATAAAGTAAATATCCGCACCAGTCTCTGAAAGTAATAAATTTGTACTAAATGAATGTTTAGACACATATGCACATGGGCACATATATTTTTAATGATCATATATGACAGTAATTGACTTTTTCATTTATTTATAAATATTAGACTTACTTTTATGTTAATAAATACGACTATCACTGTCATAACTTCATAAAATGTCATATGGATGTAACATCATATATCTTATTAAAATTTTGACTCATAATTTCATAAACCTTCTTTGATAGTTGGTTTATGTAAGATCAATGGGCAAGCCATTACAATTTTTTATAAACATTGCAGAATATCTTCCAGAAAAGTTGCATGGCATTTGACTCTCATTAACAAACAATAATGATGCATATCTTTTTGAACTGTCACCAGACTTTGTTCAGTTATCTCATTTCCACTAATGCACACAGACAACACACACACGCACACACCACTATGAGAGGTAAGCATTATACTTAATGATGAAATGTTCAGCTCACTAGGAATATTTAACAATTCTAAAGTTGTATGAGTTTAATAAAATGCATTCAGCACCTAGAAAGTGAAAATTCATAGCTCTAGAGGAATAAATTGTCAAATGCATTTCCATAGTGAGATCTTAAAATGTTTTCCTCAAATGTTGGTTGACAAATCATAAGAATATTCATAAAGATAATGAAAATTTGAACAATAAAAATATTTTTGTCCAGTGGACATATATTTATAGAACATGAATCCAGTCAAATAAATGTATTGTTTTCTTCAGTTCTGATATTTTTTAGGACTCACTAGGCTCTGCAGTTTATCACACATGAATCTGAGAAACATTCACTGTGAGCTTCCTGTTTAGGAACACAATCTCTGTGTTCCTAAAGCATACTGAGACTTTGATTTCTACCAACAAGATCTATAGGAGAAATTTTGGCTTTTGGAGAACTCAGCTGAAATCTTTCAGTGATTCTTTAAGTAGTCAAGCAGGGCTTGTCAAAATATTTAGGCAAACGCTGAGGAGGCTCCCTTGGCCAGGGATGTTTTGAGCCCTAAAAGCCAGTTATAAATATCACTGCCTTTGTTTTGGATAAGAATCTGAAATCTCCAGATGTGTAGGGATCCCCAGATCTAAAGATAGAGGTTTTCCAATCCAGTTGTAATTTAGCTTTACGCCACTATAAGTAATGCACATTCTTCTGAACAATATGTAAAACAGTCAACAAAATTGATGACAGTAAAGAAAGAAAACTGAAATTCAAATACTGGTAGTATAAAACTAGTCATTTGGTAACAATTAGGATAAAACTTAACAAAGTACTCAAAAATGCATTTAGAAATTTGTAGATGTATTTTTATATATTTCACAGGGTGAAGAAAAATAAGTGATGATGGATATTATACAATAAATAATGTGAAAAAATGAAGAAATTACATACAGAAATTTGATATGCACTTGAAAATTGCATAGGAACGTAACTAAAAGTATATAAATAACCAATATTTTACCTGACAAAGCTGTCATTCAGAAATGAGGGATTAAAAAATATCCTGTACAAATAAAGGCTGAGGAAGTTTATTACCACTGAGCTTGCCTAATGAGAAATGCTAAAAGGAGTTATTTAAGCTAAAACGAAGGGAGGCTAAATTATAACAGGAACACATATGAAAGTGTAATACATACTGTAAAGGCAAATATAAGTCAATTTCAGAACACTATTACATTGTAATAGAGGTATATGAGTCACTTATAACTCTAATGTAAAGGTTAAAAGACAAAAGTGTTAAAATAACTATCATTGCCATAGTTTGTTAATAAATACAAAATATAAAAAGATGGAAAATTTGACATAAATAACAAAATTATGCATAGGTGTGGAAATGATAGTATATAGTTTTTATGTGATTGAAGTTAAATTTCTAATATCTTAAACTAACCTGATATGACTGTATATTTCATGTAGACCTCATGGTAAACTATGAAAGAAAAACCTATAGTAAATACACAAAAATTAAAGAGAAAAGAATCAAGAGATACCACTGCAGGTTAGCATCATATCACAGAGGAACACAGCAAGAGAGAAAAAAATGCATGAAACAACATATAAAACAGACAGAAAACAATGATAAATGGCAATAGTAAGTCTTCATAGCAATAATTACTCTAAATTTAAATGGACTATAAACTCTCCAACCAAAAGACATAGAGTATCTGAATGGATTAAAAGTATTCAAAGATATGCTGCCTGAGAGAGACACACTTGAGCTTTAAGAAAATGCAGGGACTGAAAGTGAAGGGATAGAAAAAGATACTGCATGGAAATCAAAATCCAAAGAGGAGAGGAGTTGCTATACTTTCATGAGTCAAAGATAGACTGTAAGTAAAAAACCATAGCAAAAGGCAAAAAAAGTTGTAATGTAATGATAAATGGCCAGTTAATCAGGAAGATATAACAATTTAAAACATATATGCACCAAACACAGAGCCCCCTAAACATATAAAGCAAATTTAAACAGAATTGAAATGAGAAATAATAATATTAACAGAGAACTTCAATACCCCAATTTCAGCAATAGACAGTTTTATACAGCAGAAAATTAATAAGGGACATTTAGACTTAAACTGTGCTTTAGACCAAATGGACCTAAAAGATATCTGTAGAACATTCCATCAAATAGAAACAGACTACACATTCTTCTCACGTGCATATGTAACATTTTCTAGAATAAATCATACTAGGCCACAAAACAAATTTTAACAAATTTAGGAAATGTATAATCATAATCATAATCAGCATCTTTTCTAACTACAATGTTAAGAAATTAGATGTAATGAGGAAAAATAGAAAATTCCTACATGAGTTGAAATTACATAATATCTTCTTAAACAACCAATTGGTCAAAGAAGAAAACAAAAGCTAAAAAAACAAAAAGAGTAAAATAGCCATAGAATAGAGCAACCAAAACTAAGAGTTCTGTTTTTAAAAATATAAACAAAATTAATAAACCTTTAGCAATACTAGGAAAAGCAGAGGGCTCAAATATGCAATACCAGAATTAAAGGAGGAGACATTACAATTGACGTCACCAAGTAAAGGCATCAGACTGTGAACATTTTATGCCAACAAACTGTATAACATGGAAGAAATGCACAGCATCCTAGAAACACAATCTACAAAGATTGAATAATGAAAACAGAAAATCTGAGGAGATCAGTAACAAGTAAGACTGAATCAGTAATCAAAAATCTCCTACAAAGAAAAATCCAGGACCAGATGACTTAACTGATGATTTCTACCAAACATTTTAAAAGAAAAAAAAAGAGTAAATAATGATTATTCTCAAAAAGTTTTCCAAAAAATTGAAGAGGAACACTTCCAAACTTATTTCATGAAGCCAATTTTACATTACTCTAACACCAAAGTTGGACCAAGATACTCCCAGATAAAACATGAGCCAATATCCCTCAACAAAGATGCAAATATCCTCAATAAAATACTACCAAATTCAACAATACAAAAGGACTGTATATCATAATCAACTGGGATTTATTCCTGGGATTCAAAGATTGTTAAACATATGCAAATGAACACATTAAGAGAATAAAGGATAAAAGTCACATCATTCATCTCAATAGATAAAGCCAAGGCTTTGGACAAAATCCAGCATTCTTTTATGATTAAAGTCCTCAACTAATTGGGTATAGAACGAATTTACCTCAAAATAATAAAGACCATAAATGACAGGCCTACATCTAACATCATGCTCAATATGGAAAAGCTGAAAATTTTTCCTCTAATATCATGAAAATGACACTGGTGCCCAGTCTCCCCACTAGTGTTAAACACTGAACTCGATCTAAAAAAAAAAAAAAGAAGAAGAAGAAGAAAAGGAAAAACAAAACCTGCTTGTAACAAAAGCCGAGGATAGCCGTCCTCACTTCAACTCAACTCCATTAAAATAATATTTTTTGCCTCACCTTCTTCCTGTAGGTCTTTTGACTCCTCCTAGCCAAGGACACTCAGTGGAGGCCCAGTGGAAGCCAGAATTCATGTCCTCACCCACTGGGGCCCACAAAGCCTGCCTTGCAAACCCCTCTCAAGGCTGGGCTAGGCCACCTTTTTGTGCATTCCCACGGTCAGTCCCCCTGCATTTCCACCAGGAGACTGGACTATTGTAATCTCCAACATTCTTGTCTGACACCCACACTGCACCCAGCAGGGCTGTGCTTTATTCACTCTGCTGTCTCCAGTACCCACTACTTAATGGGGCTTTATGGGCGTGTACTGAAGGAAGAAAGGGAGGATTGGGGGAGAAAAGCCTGGAAATGGTAAAGAGATCAGATTGGGTTGCAGTAGCTCATGTTTGTAATCCCAGCAATTTGGGAGGTCAAGGTGGGTGGATCATTTGAAGTCAGGAGTTTGAGAACAGCCTGGCCAACATGGTGAAACCCCGTCTACTAAAAAAGACCAAAATATATATATATGTACAAACATTAGCTGGGCATGGTGGCGTGTGCTTGTAGTCCCAGTTCCTCAGGAGGCTGAGGCAGGAAAATTGCTTGAACCCGGGAGGAGAGATTGCAGTGAGGCAAGATAGCATTCTTGCACTCCAGCCTGGGCAGCAGAGTGAGACTTTGCCTTAAAAAAATAAAGAAATAAAATAAAATTGATGTATATCTGGCTGCATTTCTCATATAACATCTCACATGTATTCAGAGAAATCTGAGACCAGCCGCTGCCTTACTCTTAGGAAGCAAGCACAGGAAAACTAAGTCATTGCATCCCATCAGCAGTGGAGTGTTCAAGTGACAGCAGATGTGGCTCTTCCAGTGAGGAGGCCAAGGGATTGGGACACTTGGAAGATCCCAAGCCACACCTGAGCTGCCAACTACAGCCAAATGGAGTATTGCCTTCTCCAAACACAGACGGGATTTGGATTGCAGTCCCTGGTCTTAAGCAGGGAAGACCTAAGTCACCTCAATTGTCTTGTGAGAGACCACAGTCTATGCCAAGAGACAGGAAGTGCCCATGCAGGCCCTGACATACAGCTCCTCAGTTAGGAAGTCCTTCTGACCTTCTTTTCTTGGATAGCCCTTCCTTCACAATTAGATGAGAGAAAGTTACCTCCTTGCAAGTTAAGACTAATGTCATTATTGGACTTCACCATGGGTGGAAGTTGCACCAGAAGGATTATTCAAGAATATAAACTAAAATGCCTCCAAGTGAAATTGTCTATTATTGGATGACGTGATCTTATACATAGAAAATCATAAATATTCTATACAAAGAAAAGTTAGAATGAAGATATGAATTCAGTTAACAGTATAAAAAACCAACATAAAACAGATAAGCTGTGTTTCCACACATAGTAAACTAGCTGAAGAATAAATTTTTTAAAAATTTATACCATCATAAAGAATGAATTATTTAGCAGTACATTTAACTATGTCAGACAAAATGGTGTGACATTTGTCTCTGGGTATATGGAAAAAGAAAATGTAGATTGATAGATGATTGATCAATTGATCAATAAATAGACAAAATGGAAATACTTATTTTTTAAAAAGAAGGAAATCCTGCCATCCATTATTTTGGTTGTACCTGGAGGACATTATGCTAAGTGAAATAAGCCAGACACACAAAGACAAATATTGCATGAACTCACTTATTTTTACTATCTTAAAAATAAATTCAAACACATAGTAACAGAAATTAGATGGTAGTCACCAAGGGCTAGAGGTGTGGGTGAAAAGGGAAGACACTGGACAAAGGGTAACTTTCAGTTGTAAGATTAATAAATTCAGAAAACTGAATGTACATCATGGTCACTATAGTTAATAATAATATTTTGCTTACTTAAAATTTAGTAAGAGTAGATCTCAAATGTTCTTACCACATACAATAAAATGGTAACTATGTGAGGTGATGGATATAGTAATTTGGTTGTTTTAATCATTCACAATATATGTGTATGTTAAAACATCATATACATCTTATATACACTTTAAATAAATACAAGACTTGTTTTTCAGTCATAGCTTAATAAAGTCAAAAAAATAAAATTGCTTTAAAGTGTTCTGGAAATGAAAGGGACTTTGATTATTGATACAGATATTAATATATCATGAAGTTATCACCATACTTAATCTGTTTGAAACACCATACTAAATCTATCTGAAATCAGAACCCACCATTAAATGGAGGGGCTTCTAATTAAATGTGAGTACTCTCAGAAAGTTGTGACTTTGTATGAGATGACACTCTTGAGCTAAGGCAATAGCAAAAGAGGGAGGGGAGAGGAGGATTGCTTGTGTGTAGTACTTCCGGCACCTGGGCATTAATTCCTTTTATTCTTAACTGAGAAACTGTGCTGCATTATTTTATTTTCAATTTATTTGTGCTGAGAACTGCAAAATAGAGCAAAAATAACAAAATTCAAATTGCTTCAACTGTTTCTCAGCATTTCTAAACAATATCCTCATTTTAAATTCAAATCTCATAATAATACATGCTAATGATTAATGATCTGAATTTTGAAATTTAGACTCCTTGTGTTTATTTAAATTACAATTCTGTTAATACATTCCAATTTTGATACATGTAGGATATAATCTACATTTGTATGAATGAATATGTGTTTCAAGGAACTGTGATGTTTAACTTTTATGAAGTTAGAATCTCTACCAATTACTTTCCCTCTGAACATTTTGCTACAGGCCACTTATTCCATCAACATTGAGGGGAAATCATACACTTTCCTGCTTGAAAAACAGTAAGTTATTGAAAAACATTCATTATTTTTAGTGTCTTAAATTTTTACAATCACTACCCTAAATTGAACTTAAATAAGAGAATGAATATTAGATTTATTTAATAACATTTTATATCTTCTCTGTGATTCATTTTAGTCATCAATTACAGATTGTCATTTTGAGACTCTTTCAGGGAGGGACTATGACTTTTCCTAGGTTCCAAAAGGAAGGCAGGATGGAGCTGAATCTTTAGTAAACTTGTGAAGGACATTGATTGCTGTTTTAAGACACTTAATAATTTTGGAGTTGTTTTTAACCAAAGTATAACATCATGAAAATTAATGTAAATATATAAAATCTATTGTTACTTGTTAAACAAATATTAACTAAGGCATATGAGCCATAAAATTACAGTTGAATCTAAAAGAAAACCTATTTTGAAATCTGGCACCCCTGCTTATTACTGTACATATATCTGTGTTTGTCAGTTTTATTTTATTTTATTTTATTTTATCTGTGAGATAGGGTCTCACTCAGTTGCCCAGGCTGGAATGTAGTGGTGCAATCGTAACTCACTGCAGCCTAGATTTCTTGAGTTCAAGGCATCCTCTTGCCTTGGCCTCCCAAGTAGCTAAGACTACAGGCACACACCACCACGATCCACCAATTTATTTTTATTTTTAGTAGAGATGGGGGATCTCTATATGTTGCCCAGGCTGGTCTTGAACCCCTGAGCTCAAGCAATCCTCCAGGTTTGGCCTGCCAAAGTGCTGGGATTACAGGTGTGAGCCACCACACCTGTCCCTAGTTGATTATTTTGAATTCATTAAAGCAGTCCCACACTTTTTTCTGATTATATGTTATTATTCTTTCTTACATTCACAATATGCTATCAAAAAGCAGCAAGTTAATATAGAAATAAGTCCATTTCATATTTAGATGCTTGTATTGAAGGCAAATTTTGTTTAATTTTATTATTCTGGAAATTGTTTTTAATTAATGAAATAATTACAATGTAGTGTCTTTATTTTGATTGATTTAGGTCATTTTTACACCCACGTCTCCTAGTGTATTTATACAATGAATCAGGAATATTGCATGAAGATTCTTCATTTTCAAACGTGAGTTTTTGTTTCTGCCAAGCAAAATTACATTTTTATGTGGTTAAGGTGCCATTGCTAGGGAGGAAATTCACACTTTATGCCCCACATAATTATTGAGAAAAGAGAGCACAAAAGTAAATATAATGTGGAAATTACTATGAAAGCATATTGAATAGAACAACTACTTTTTAAAAAACCTGGAACTTAGAAATCATTCATCCAAAAAAAGACATTTAGGATATGTCTGGAAGTATTAGTAGGTGTTTTGGGGGTGGGGGTGGAAGTGTGTCAAGGAGCTAAGACACACTTAGAAGTTTCAACTGATAGACGAGAGGGCCTGAGCAGTGGAGAAAACGGTAGACATTACGTTACAGAAAGACCACAGGGAACCAGTGAGAGTGATGATGGAAAAAGTAGACAGTGTACAGAACCTTAATAGGTCCACATGTGAAACCGCAAAATTAGAGTTATAGCTAAAAAGCTTTTTTTTCTTTCTTTTTTCATGTCTTTTTCTTTTTTTTTTCTTTTTCTTTTTCTTTTCTTTTTTCTTTTTTTTTTTTTTTCTGAGACGAAGTCTCGCTCTGTCACCCCAGGCTGGAATGCAGTGGTACAATATTGGCTCACTGCAGCCTCTGCCTCCCAGACTCAGGTGATCCCACCTCAGCTTCCCAAGTAGCTGAGCCGACAGGCGCAGGACACACCAAGCTTATTTTTGTATTTTTGGTTGAGACGGGGTTTCTCCATCTTGCCCAGGCTAGTCTCAAGCTCCTCGGTTCAAGCGATCTGCCCGCCTTAGCCTCCTAAAGTGCTGGAATTACAGGCTGGAAGACATTTAAGAGTCAAGAAAATTTTGATATTATATAAGAAAGTTCACTTGACCCTGTAAGATATTTATTATACCCTGTAAGGTATTTATTACCCTGTAACACATTTATTCACATGACTGGGAGGAAGTGAATGCCAATGATGGGTCACACTCTATTGCTATATTGGAACGAAGAGATGATGAAATCTACAGTATGGTAACTGATAAAGAATTTTCTCTCCCTACCAATTACAATGAGAATTCAGAAAAAAAAAAAAAATCATGAGGCACCTGTTCTGAGATATGTGACAATAGGCAGATTAGGAATTTTATACCTGAGAGAATATAAGCACAGAAGGTGAATTTCATGTTTAAGTTTACCCCCTACTGGAGATGGTCTGGACCATAGACAGCATCCAGAGGTGGCACCAAGAAGAACTCTAAGGGTTTGGAGTTTAACGTTGCTGATTACTGCTGATTTTTAACTTTTTTATATTTTGAATATGTCTTTTGTCAAACAAGTGCTTTGCAAATATTTCGTCCCTTTCAGATTTGTCTTACTTTTCAAATGGTCTACCACAGATCAAAATTTTTATTTTTGATGAGGGCTAATTTATCAACAACTCTTGTTATGATTGGTTGTTTTCATGTCAAACCTGCAAACTCTATGTAGCATTCGTTTCTAAAGACCAATTTCTGTTTTTTTTTTTTAAGTTTTATACTTTACATGTATTTATTTATTTATTTTGAAGTAATTTTGTATAAGGTATGATATTGAGATCAAAGTTCAGTCTTTTGACTACATGTATAATAGTTACAGCACTATTTATATTTCTAAAAGGTTATCTTTCTGCTTTGAATTGTTCTTTTAACTACTTTGTCAAAAATCCATGAACCAAGAGTGGATATATTTCTGGGTTATAAACTACAGTGGTTTTTCCCACTTTGTTATAGTTTTTAAGAATTTTCAGCTATTCTATTCTAGATATTTTGCTTTTTTGTTTTAAATTTAAATAAAGCTACTCCTGTTAAATCTGTAGATCATTTATGAATATATCTTTCTATATTCCCTTTTAGGATCATTGCTTTTATCAAGGATATGCTGCAGACATTCCAAAATCAGCTGTGACACTAAGTACCTGTTCTGGACTCAGGTAATGGCATATTCCAAATATATACATTGAGATTATACATGAGCCTTTAATTTCCAGAAACTTCTTGAAAGGTAGAGTAAATATAGAGAAATAAAAACTTTATTTTTGTACTTTTCTTTTTTATCTATTCTTTTGATCTTTTTTTCTATTCTCTTTTTCTCTATCCCAGGCTGGCAGTCACAAAATGTATTCAGATAAAACCTCTCACTAGCATAAACTGTATTCAAATTCATCAATGGAGAATCTACACTAATAACATTTTTAGCCAGGCATGGTGGCTCACGCCTGTAATCCTAGCACTTTGGGAGGCCAAGGTGGGTGGATCACCTGAGGTCAGGAGTTCAAGACTAATAATATTTTTATTTTTATTTTTTGTATTTGAATATCTAGAGGATTATTTCAGTTAGATAATATCAGTTATGGTATTGAACCATTGGAATCTTCACCTACATATGAGCATGTAGTTTATCAAATAAAAAATGATGCTATTGGTCATTACTCATTTCAAGAAAATTACCCAGTGGCCCAATATATAGATCAGTCCTACCGGATTCTTGTGAAATCAGACGTGAGTATTCTCATTTATGACTTCTTCATTTGTCTTACTGTTGATAAACTTATTCAAAGTGGAATTTTGAAATTTGATGCATTTGGAGAACAAATTTATGCTGGTTTTTATTATATTAAAAACTTCAGTTGTAGGATATTTGTTTAAAACATATATTTGTTTATTCAGATAGTATTTAGAAAATGTAATTGATATAAATATATGTAATTCTAAAGCATCGTAACATGTTTCCCAAATTGCAGGAATTTTTATACACGTACCATTATTTTTATATTGATTTTGCATCTTACAAATAAAATTGTTACCAATTTGATCAAATTGCTTTATAAGTTTTTTGGACTTGCATTTTTTAATTTTAAAGTGTTATTTTGATAGAAAATATAAAAGTGAAAAGGAGGCAATACAGTAGAAATTGTGTGAAACCTTATTGTTTAAAGATAGTGCTCTTAATATTTTGATGTAACTGTCCCAATTGTGCTAAATACCAATTTATAAATTGTGATGGTATATATGTTACTCAATAATAATATGTTTATACTTAATAGGGACACATTTTATTGGATGTAAACCTCAATAAAGTTAATATAAAGAAGTAAAAGAACAAAAATAATAAGAAAATAAAGGCAACATTTGGAGAAATGTATATGGAAGTTAGTTTACCTTGAAGATTGATGAGGGAGTGGTGTGCTACAGAGTACATAGGAATGTTAAAAGAGGAAGAAAATATCTGGTTCTTCCTCATTTCAATGACTTTTCGACAATTCTAATTATCAATAACATAAAATAAAATGCTTCTGATTTTCTTGTAAAATTCGTATTTGGAATCCTACATGCTAAGTGAGCACTCATCCTCTTATGTTATTACTTATATCTGTATTTGTGTATCTGTGTTCATATATCTATCATCTATCTACATACAGATAGATGGGTAGCTACACGGATGGATAGTCTATATCTCACCTGTGAGTGTGTGTATATATGCATTGCACATGACAACTGCAATGTAAAAATTTTGAAATTATTTAATTCATGTCCTCTATTTCACAGATAAATTCAGGTGCCATGCTATTGAAAAGAACTCTGAAAGTACAAATCATTATGGATAAAGCCATGGTATGCAATAACAGTATGTTTATTATATTTTTATTTTGTTGAAATTTAGAAGGAATATGAATTAAAAACTCAGCATTTTCAATGCACATGCACATATGTATATATACATACATATATATAAATATATATATATAGTACTTTAGGTTCTGGGGTACATGTGCAGATCATGCAGAATTGTTGCATAGGTACATACATGGCAAGGTGGTTTGCTGCCTCCATACCCCCATCACCTATACCTGGCATTTCTTCCCATGTTATCTCTCCCCAACCTCCCCATCCCCTGCTGTCCCTCCTTTAGCCCCCAACAACAGACCCCAGTGTGTGATGCTCCCCTCCCTGTGTCCGTGTGTTCTCATTGTTCAACACCCGTCTTTGAGTGAAAATATGTAGTGTTCGATTTTCTATTCTTGTGTCAGTTTTCTGAGAATGATGGTTTCCAGATTCATCCATGTCCCTACAAAGGACACAAACTCATTGTTTTTTATGGCTGCATAGTATTCCATGGTGTATATGTGCCACATTTTCCTTGTCCAGTCTATTGTTGATGGACATTGAAAATGTTTTCTTCAGCGTAGCCAGCTTAATCAATTATCTTAGCTAGATCTTTGAAATAACCTGCTGCAACTTCTGTATTAGCACTTGCTACTTCACCTTGCACTCGCACTTTTATAAAGATGGCCTCTGTCCTTAAATTTCTTGAATCAATCTCTGCTAGCTTCACTCTCTTTCACAGCTTACTTATCTTTCTCAGCCTTCATGGATTGGAAGAAAAGTCAGGGCTTCCTCTGGATTAAGCTTAGACTTAACAGATTTTATGGCTGGTTTAATGTTTTATCCAGACCACTAACACTTTCTTCATATCAGCAATAAGGCTGTTTTACTTTCTTATCATTCATATATTCACTAGAGCAGCACTTTTAGCTCTCTTCAAGAGATTTTCCTTTGCATTCACAACTTGGCTAATCATTTGTCAAGAGGTCTAGATCTTCCTCAGTTTTTAACCTGTGGTTCTCACTAAATTTAATCATTTCTAGCTTTCAATTTAAAGTGAGAGGCATGGGATTCTTCCTTTCACCTGAACACTTAGAAGCCATTGTAAGGTTATTAATTTGTCTAATTTCAATATTTAATTATCTCAGAGAATAAAGAAGCCTGAGGAGAGGGAACAAGATGAGGGAGTGGCTGGTCAGCGGAGCAGTCAGAAACTTTATGACATATATAGATTAAATTTGTCATCTTATGTGGGCACAGTTCATGCATCTGAAAACAATTACAGTAGTAACATTGATAATCACTAGTGATAGTAATAATACCAATAATAAAGCTTGAAATATTGCAAGAGTTACTAAATGTAACAGGAAGACATGAAGTGAGCATGTTATTGGAAAAAATAGTGCCAATAGACTTACTCGATTCAGGATTACCACAAATTTTCAATTTGTAAAAAATGCAATATCTGCAGAATGCAATAAAGTGAAGCACAATAAAACATTTTATTAGAATGAAGACAAACGATGACAGTATACTATAGTAGAAAAAGTAGACTTAGTAGTTTATTTAGTTGTGGATTTGAGTCTTAAATTTTATCCATAAAAATTTTTGGCAAAGCAAATCTTAAATATGACACTAAGAGCATGACCAATCAAAAAAATTAGATAATTTGGACTGCATAAAAATAAGGCTAGATGCAGTGGCTCTCACCTGTAATCCCAGCACTTTAGGAGGCCGAGGAGGGCAGGTCACCTGAGGTTGGGAGTCCAAGACCAGCCTGGCCAATATGGTGAAACCCCATCTCTACTAAAAATACTGAAAAATTAGCCAGGCATGGTGGTGGGAACTTATATCCAGGAATACAGACGCCTGCCACCATGCCCTGGTAACCAATAGATTACTCACTCTTCATACCTTAATACTTTGAATTTCTACATCTGTAAAGAGGAAGATGATCACAATTATCTCATCTTAATATCATTGATTACTTTATAAAATATTAGGCTGATGTTTAAAACTTGGTAAGCATGTGATGTATCTTAATTCTATTTAGGGCCTTTTCAATTGACCACTGAATTATTTTTACATTTATATTTAAATCCACTTAAAATGCGGTAGTTAGTTATTTTTACTAGTGATTAAGAAACAAAATTTGTCTTTCAGTACGATTATATGGGCTCTGCTGTGGCAGTTGCAGTTGACAAAGTTTTTCAAATCTTTGGTCTTATCAACACTGTAAGTATATGTATTTTATATTTAAGTAAGCAATGTAACATTGTGTGTGTACACATATATAGCATTTATATTTCAATAAAAAGTAAAAATGTAAATGTAGCCTAACCAACTAGTTTTATCCACCAATGATTTTATCTTCAAAAAATATTAAATTAAATATATTAGCATTAGATATTGAGATGTAATGCCATCTTATGGTTACCCAAAATTGTAAAACATGTATCTTCTGTTCTCAGATGTTTTCCCAGCTTAATATGACAGTCATGCTGTCTTCCTTGGAGATCTGGTCAGATCAAGATAAGATTTCAACAAGTGGTCATGCTGATGAATTACTACAGCGATTTTTGTCTTGGAAACAAAAATTTTTGTCTCAAAGGCCTCATGATATGACATATTTATTAGTGTAAGTACTTTATTTACGTTTGGAAAGGCTTTATCAAATTGATATCTTAGCTATCAAAATTATATATACATTTTATATAACAATCATTATTAAAAATCTATATGAGGCTGGGTGCAGTGGCTCACACCTGTAATCCCAGCACTTTAGGAGGCTGAGGTGGGCGGATCACCTGAGATTGGGAGTCCAAGACCAGCCTGACCAATATGGTGAAACCCCATCTCTATTAAAAATACAAAAGTTAGCTAGGCGTGGTGGCAGGCGCCTGTAGTCCCAGCTACTGGGAGACTGAAGCAGAATTGCTTGAACCCGGGAGGCGGAGGTTGCAGTGAGCCAAGACTGCACCATTGCACTCCAGCCTAGGCAACAGAGTGAGACTCTGTCTCAAAACAAACAAACAAACAAACAAAAGATATATGAAGACTGTGTTGGCCAACTGCAAAATATAAGATTCTAATAATCATGGAAGACACTAATTAAATCACAGTAACCCATAGTATAGTGTTTACTTTTGGAAATGTAATGAGCTGGATAATTAGAAGTCTTGGGATAAAAACATGATACCTCTCTGTAAAGACCTTCTCACTAGTGAATAATTGAAACCATCATTTCAACATTACATAAATATAAATTAATTCATAGACTGCAATAATCACATAGAATGCTTGTTATAATATGAAATATTAATAAATAACTGTAATAGACCACTTTATTCTCCCCGTGGTTTCCTTCTGGTATTTTTATACTGACCTAAGATGCACCTATTTATCTGCTTGGTTGGTATCTTTCAAAAGTCCTCATATATTTGCATTTTACTAACTTGATTATTTCATGTGCAAAAATCAAAAACACAATTTTAAAGACCTTAAGCAATATGTGGAATATATCTATCAAAGTATTGGAATAAAGAATCTCTAGGATTGCAGAGCAATGTTAAGATATAGCTATGTGAGGACAGTTTCTACTCTACCTCTCTTTCTCTTAGTAAATCTGATGCATATTTTATCTCTTTCTCTCTCTTTCAATCCTACCTTTCTTCACACTTTTGGGGTTGATTTTCTACATACAAATTATAGCAATAAACAATTTAACTTTTATATCACAAAATTAATTATATTCTTCCAGTGATGAATAATTTTTTGAAAGAATCAGGCACTGCTAGGTTTTGGGCTGTGTATTAGATAATGTTAAACAACTTTTAGAACTTAACTTTATGTGAATGATAGGGGATACCCAAATCTTGATGACTAAAAGCATAAGATATTGCATGTAATTTCTGTGTTTTGGGGAAATACCTTTATATAGAAATCCATCTCATAAAATATGAGTAAGTTATTGCTATTTTAAATTATACATATCCACAAGAAAAATTTCATTATTCAGTTACAGGAACCATTCTACTTATGTGGGAGCAACGTATCATGGAATGGCATGTGATCCAAAGTTTGCAGCCGGAATTGCTCTGGTAATCTCACACACTGTCTTGACAAATCTTTGAAAACTGTATTTTTAGATTTGAGAATTCAAATGTAATTTTTCAGGAGGTTTCTTATTGGAGTGAAAACAAATAACATAAAATTTATAACTCTAGCCATTTTCAAGTGTACAGTTTTGTAGTGTTAAGTATATTTCCATTGTTGTGAAACAAATCTCTGGAACATTTTTTCTTAAAAAACTGAAACTCTATGCCCCACTTGGAAACTGCCATTTAACTTTCTGTTTCCATTAATTTGACAACCTCAGTTCCTCATATAAGTACAATCATACGGTATTTTCTTTCTGTGAGTGGTTTATTTCAGTTAACATAATCTCTTCAATGTTAATCTGTGTTGTAGCATGTGACAGAATTTCCATTCTTTTGATGGCTGAAATGCATTTCATTGTAAGTATATACCACATTTTCTTTATCCTGTCATCTGACAATGGATGTCTAGGTTATTTCCATATCCTGGCTACTGTATATAATGCTGCAATGAACATGGAAGCACATATGTCTCCTAGATATTCTGATTTTATTACTTTTGTATTAATACCATTTTAACAGTGAATTTATGTGGCTTATTACAAAATACCTTAAACTGTGTAATTTTAGAGAAATTTATCCATTATATTTGTGGAGGTTGCAAAGTCTAAAGGAAAGGGGCCACATCCGGTGTGTGCTTGCTGCTGATGAAGATACTGCAAGGTGACACAGGGCATCACATGGCAAGGGAGCTGAGCATGCCATCTCAGGTCTTGGTTTCTCTTCTTATAAAGCCACAAGGCTTAGTCTTATTATAGTCCATTAATCCTTTAATCCATGAACAGATTCATCCTTTCATGAATTTCTCTGATTTTTCTAATTTTTTTAGTAGTTAAGTAGTTTGAGGTTTTAGATTTAAGTCTTTATTTTTATTTGAATTTTGGAAATCATGAGAAATAGGAGTCCAGTTTGATTTTTCTGTCTATGGATATCAAGTTTTCCCAGAACCATTTATTGAAGAGACTGTCTTTTCCCCAGTGTATGTTCTTGGTAACTTTGTCAAAAATGAGTTCACTGTAGCTGTGTGGATTTGCTTCTGGGTTCTCTATTCTGTTCCAATGATCTATATGTCTGTTTTATGCCAGTATCATACTGTTTTTGTTACTGTAGTTGTGTAGCATAATTTGTAGTCAGGCAATATGATTTCTCCAATTTTGTTATTTTGGCTTTGGCTGTTCTGGGACTTTTGTGGTTCCATATACATTGTAGAATTTTTTTTTCTATTTCTGTGAAGTATGCCCTTGGTATTTTAATAGGGAATTGCATTGAATCTGTATATTGCTTTGGGTAGTATGGGCATTTTAGCAATATTCTTCCAATCCGTAAATATGGAATATCTTTTCATTTTTTGTTTCCTCTTCAATTTCTTACATCAATGTTTTATAGTTTATAGTTTTCATTACTGAGATCTTTCACTTCTTTGGTTAATTTCTAGGTATTTAATTTTATTAGCAGCTACTAGAAATGCTATTATGTTTTTTATTTTCTTTTTCAGATTATTTTCTGTTGATACATAGAAATGCTACTGATTTTTCTGTGTAGATTTTGTACTCTACAAATTTACTGAATTTATCAATTCTAATAGTTTTTCATGGAGTCTTTAGGTTTTCTCAAATATAAGATTATATCATCTGCAAACACAGATAATTTGACTTTTCATTTTCCAATTCAGATGCCCTTTATTTCTTGTCTGATTGTTCTAACTAGCACTTCCAGTACTATGTTGAATAACAGTGGTGAAAGTGGGCATCCTTTTTGTATTCCAGATCTTAGAGGAAACGCTTTCAGTTTTTCCCCAGTGAGATACTAGCTGTGGGTCTGTCATATATGGTTTTTATTATTTTGAGGCCTGGTTCTTCTATACCAAGTTTTTTAGTACTTTTATCATAAATAAATGTTGAATTCAATCAAAGGCTTTTTCAACACCAGTAGAAATAATCACATGATTTTTGTCCTTGGTTTTTATTGATGTGATGTATCACATTGATTGATTTCCATATGTTGAACCATCCTTGCATCCCAGGGATAAACCACACTTGGTCATAATGAATGATCTTTTTAATGTGCTGTTGAATCTAGTTTGCTAGTATTTTGTTGAGAAATTTTGTGTCAATATTCATCAGAGATATTGGCCTTCATTTTTCTTTTTTTGATGAGTCTGTTTGGTTTTGATATCAGGGTAGTGTTGGCCTCATGGAATGAGTTTGGTGGTATTCATTTCTACTCTGTTTTTCAGAATTATTTGAGTAAGACTGACATTAGTTCTTAAATGTTTGGTAGAACTCGACAGTGCAGCGATCAAGTCCTGGTCTTTTCACTTCGAGAAGATACTTTATTATAGCTTCCATCTGTTGTTATTGGTCTGTTCATGATTTTGATTTCTTCATGTTTCAATCTTGGTAGGTTACATGTTCCTAAGAATTTGCCCATTTCTTTTAGATTTTCATTTTATTGGCATATAGTTGCTCATAGTAGCCACCAGTAATCCTTTGAATTTCTGTGGTAGCAGTGTTAATGTCTCCTTTTTCCTCTCTGATTTTATTTATTTTGATCTCCTCTCTTATTTTTCTTAGTCTAGCTAAAGGTCTGTCAATTAGGTTAACTTTTCAAAAGACCAACTTCTTGTTTCTTTGATATTATTTTCTTAATCCATCTTAATTTCTTCATTGGCCGACTAGTTATTCAGGAGCATATTGTTTGGCAGATATGTGAATAGTTTCCGAAATTTCTCCTGTTATTAATTTCTAGTTTTATTCCATTGTGGTCAGAGAAGGTGCTTGATGTTATTTCAATTTTTTGAATTTTTTAAGACTTGTTTTCTGATTTAATACATGATTTATCTTTGAGAATGATTCATCTGCTGAGGAAAATAATGTGTATTATTCAGTCACTGGATGAAATGTTCTGTAAATATATATTAGGTCCATTTGGCCTATAGTTCAGATTAAGTCTGATGCTTCCTTGTTGATTTACTGTCTGGAAAATCTGTCCAATGCTGAAAGTGGGTATTAAATTATCCAGCTATTATTGTATTGTGATCGATATCTCTCCTTTAATCTAATAATGCTTTCTTCATATACCTGGTTGCTCCAGGGTTGGGTGCATATATATTTTAAATTGTTATATATTCTCTTGATGAATTGACCCCTTTATCATTATATGATAAACTTCTTTGTCTCTTATTATTTTTGTTCAGAAATCTATTTTTGTTTAAGTATAACAACTTCTGCTCTTTCTTGGTTTCTGTTGTCATAGAATATCTTTTTTTTAATACCCCTTCTATTTGTGTATTCATAGGTGAAGTAGTTTGACTGTAGTTTCTTGTAGTTAACAGATTATTGAGTTCTGTTTGGTTGTTGTTGTTTGTTTTTTAAACCATTCAGCCACTTACTCCTGTCATTTTGTTATTTGTTTCCTGGTTGTTTTGTTGTCTTCTCTTCCTTCCTTCTTTCATGCCTTCCTGTCTTCCTTTTAGCGAAGGTGATTTTTCTCTGGTAATAGGATTTAATTTTTCACTTTTTATTTGTTGTGTATACGTCATATTTGATTTGAGGTTACCTTGAGGCTTGCAAATACTATTTATAACCCCTTATTTTAACCTGATTACAACTTAATATTGTTTCCAGATCCCATAGGTGTGCTTCATTGTTTTTTATTCTTTTTTCTTTTATTTCCCTTGATTGTGTCTTTTCAAATAGCCTGTCTTCAAGCTCACTAATTCTTTCTTCTGTCTCAACCATTCTGCTGTTAAAAGTCTTTAATGCATTCCTGAGTATAGTAGTTCTATTTATTAGCTCCAGAATTTCTGCTTGATTTTTAAAAATTATTTTTATCTCTTTGTTAAATTTATCTGATAGAATTCTGACTTTCTTCTCTGTGTTATCTTGAATTTATTTGAGTTTTCTCAACAAAGCTATTTTGAGTTTTCTATCTGAAAGTCATGTATCTCTGTTTGTCCAGAATTGGTCCTTGGTGCCTTATTTATTTCATTTACAAAGGTCATGTTTTCCTGGGTGGTCTTGATACTTCTAGATGTTCGTCTGTGTCTAGGCATTGAAGAGTTAGGTATTTATTGTAATCTTCTGAATCTTGGCTTATTTGTTCCATTCCTTCTTGGGAAGGCTTTCCAGGTATTGTAAAAACCTTGGTTTTATAAATCAAGCTATATCTATCTGCTTTAGGGGTCACCCAAGCCTAGTAACACTGTAGTTTTGCAGATTCATAGAGGTACTGTCTTGATAGTCTCATACAAGATCCAGAAGAATTCTCTGTATTACCAGGAAGAAGCTCTTATTCTCTTTCCTTACTTTCTCCCAAATATACAGAATTTCTCTGTTTTGAGCCACCTGGAGCAATACAAGCACCCTTGTGGTCACCTCTACTAGGATTATGTGGGGCCACACCTAAAGCCAGCACAACCTTGGGTCTTCCCAAGGTGTGTTGTAAACACTGTAACCACTCCTTGGCTACTGACTATATTTGCTTAAGGCCCTGGGACTTTATAATCAGCAGCTGGCAATGCCAGCCAGGTTTGTGTCCTTTGCTTCAGGGTAGTGAGATCTCCCAGGTCCAGGAGGATCCATAGGTGAAATCCAGGAGCCAGGGACTAGAGTAAAAAACCTTAGAAATCCACCTGGTATTCTATTGTACTGCAGCTGAGTTAGCACTCAAACCACAAGATGGCATTCTTCCTATTCTTCTCTCCCCTTTCCAAAGGCAGAGGAGCCTCACCCCATTGCCATCAGCAACACAGGCTCATGGAGAGCACTGCCAGACTACTGCTAATATTCCTTTAATGCCCAAGGGCTCTTCAGTCAACAGGTGGTGGAGGCTGCCTGACATGGGACACATGCTTCATGGACAGACTCTCCTCTGGCCTAGGGCAGGTCCAGAAATGTTTCCCAAGGGCCAAGTCCCAGAATCAGGGACCCTGAGAACCTGAATGGTGCTCTGCTGTCCTGTTGCTGAGGGGCTATGTAATGTGCAAGACAAAGTCCCTTTTACTTTTCCCTCCACTTTTCTCAAGTGACTGGAGTCTTGTCCTATTGCCACCACAGCTGAGAATGTGCTGAGTTTTACCCAAAGCCAGCAAGTCTCACAGGTTCACCCCAGGCCCATGGCATACTCCCTGGGTATCACTGCTAGTTATTCAGGTCTCAAGACCTCTTCAGTTAGCAAGTGATGAAGTTTTCCAGGACTAGGTCCGTCCCTTGAAGGCAGTGAGTTCCTTCTCAAAATGACATCCAAGGGCAAAGACCTGAAAAGGGGGCCTCAGCACTCTGGTGCCCTATCCTGCTGTGGTTGAGCTGGTATCCAAGATGCAAGGTGAAGCCTACCACACTCTCCTCTCCCCTCCTCAAGAAGAGGGAAGAAGTCTCTTTTGGAGCTGTAAGCTCTGCGGACTGGGGTTGGGGTGAAGTGATGCCAGCACTCCCTTTGTCACAGCAGCTGATATCTCAGTAGGCCATGTACCCCTAGTCCCCTGGCTCTGGGCCCAGTTCAGCACTAGGCTTCACCTATGAATTGTAGTCCTTGGTGCCTAGACTGCCTTCCAAGTTTATTTAGTTCCCTTCAGCACTTTCATCCATGGTGGTGAGGCTTGCTGGAACTCAAGTTCCAACCACTGGGATCAGCAATTCCTCTCTTGACTAGGGCTGGTTTGAATATTCTCTCCACAGGTGGGCATCAACTGAGTTTTGCCCAGTTTTGTTTGGCTGCTTTTTTTTTTTTTTTTTTAGACGGAGTTTCCCTCTTGTTACCCAGGCTGGAGTGCAATGGCGCGATCTCGGTTCACCGCAACCTCCGCCTCCTGGGTTCAGGCAATTCTCCTGTCTCAGCCTCCTGAGTAGCTGGGGTTACAGGCACGCACCACCATGTCCAGCTAATTTTTTGTAATTTTAGTAGAGACGGGGTTTCACCTTGTTGACCAAGATGGTCTCGATCTCTTGACCTTGTGATCCACCCGCCTCGGCCTCCCAAAGTGCTGGGATTACAGGCTTGAGCCACCGCGCCCGGCTGTTTGGCTGCTTTAACAGTGCAGCACTGAGTTCAATGCTTCACAATTGCTTCACTCTCCCCTTCCCCAGCACAAAGAAATGCTCTCTGCACCATGCCACTGCTGCCAGGGGATTGGGGAATTTTGGTGTCCATGGTTTTTCTACCTCTTCAGTACCTCTTTTAGTTACATGATATTAAAACCAGAGGCCAGGTGCAGTGACTCACGCATGTAATCCCAGCCCTTTGGAAAGCCAAAGCAGGCAGATCACCTGAGGTCAGGAGTTCAAGAGCAACTTGGCCACATGGTAAAATCCCATCTCTACTAAAAATTAAAAAAAATTAACCAGGCATGATGGTGCTGGCCTGTAATCCCAGCTATTCAGAAGGCTAAAGGAGGAGAATCACTTAAACCCAGAAGTTGGAGGTTGTGGTGAGTGGAGATAGTGCCATTACACTCCAGCCTGGGTGACAAAAGTGAGATTCGGTCTCAAAAAAAATGAATAAATAAACCAGGTACTGTATTATGCTCGCCTGATTTTTTTGTTCTTATAAAGGCACTTTTTTTGTGTCAATAGTTCTCAAATTGGTGTCCCTGGTGGGGGTCAGGGGCAGAAGGAAAGATCCTGAGTGGAGCTTTCTATTCTGCCATTTTGCTCCATTCTCTTCCCCAGTTACAGATTTTTTTTAAATTATTTTATTTTTTAGTTTCTTTCTCCTTGTTTGTCTGTGTGTGTGTGTTTATGTGTGTGTGTATATATATGTAATATAAATATATAATAATAATGGATATATATATGTAATTTATCCCATATATGCATGGCTGATTTAACATATGAATATAAAATAATGTCCTCAATTATATTAATAGGCTGAACATGAAAAAATATATAATTAGGTAGTAGACTCAGAGAAAACAAATCCAAGGCTATTTTTAATAAACACTCTTGGCAAACTAAAAATACAAGGGAACTTATATAACTTAAAGAGATCATTTGAAAAAACAGGAAACAACATACTTATTTTGAGAAAATAATACATTACTACGTAGATCAGGAAAAAGACAAGAAAGTAGCTTACTAGTCATGGTCAACATTGTACACTAAAAACACCAAATTCTGTGAGACTAACAGGAACTGTCATTTATTGTTGACAGGAATGCAAATAATATAGCCACTTTGATAACAGTTTTACAATTTCTTATAATACTCAGCTTACCCTTGCCATATGATCCAGCAATCATCCTCCTTGGTATTTATCTAAATGAGTTAAAAACATATCCACTAAAAAATTAAACAATTAATTTAAAAATGCACGTAAGTGTTTTTAGCTTTATTTATAATTGCCACAGATTGGAAGTAACTAAGATACCTTTTAACAGGTGAATGGATAAGCAGACTTTAGAACATCCATACAATGGAATACTATCCAGTGATTTAAATAATGAGCTATTAAGCCACAATAAGATGTGGAAAAACCTTAAATTTGTGGTGAGAGAAACCCTTATAAGAAGACTAAATGTATTAGTTTCACTATATGATGTTCAGAAAAGGAAAATATATAATGAAAAGGTTTCTGGAAGTTTGTGAAATGCTATTTGTTAGATATTATATTATTCTGCTTTAAAAAATTGTTCTTCTCGAATTATTTCTGATGTCAAAACTGATTGCCAGTTTAACTCTTCAAAATCTGTATATCTTTTCCAAGTGTCCTTTTGAGAAATATCATAGTTACTAAAATAATACTTCTCAGAATGTTCTCTGAAATTTTCTGGAATTAAATTCAATAGTATGTCATAAAAATATATGATTGAATTATTCTTATTTTCGGTCAATGCCATTTTGATTAAAAATATTATCACCTAAAAGGAATAAAAAAATTGTACCTATTTTTATTTCTAAGTAAATAATTATAAATAACTATTTCTAAATAAATAAATAATAGTTTTTAAAATTTGCATTTGCATTCATGTTGTATAGCCAGAAACATTTGACAGGATCAAAGTAGTAAAAAAATAAATTAAAAAAAAAAACTTAGACAGTAAATCTGGGTGTTTGTTTGTTTCTATTTAGTACTCAAAGAAAATCACTTTAGAGGCCTTTTCGGTTGTTATGGTACAGTTGCTTGGAATTAATCTGGGATTGACATATGATGACATCTACAATTGTTACTGTCCAGGAACTACGTGCATAATGAACCCTGATGCAATGTAAGGAGCTGTTTTTATCAACTCTATGTTTTCTCTTAACAAATATTTCTAGGATTCCGTGATGTATAACCTCTTGGAATATGATTTAAGAAATTTTATTAGATACAAATGTGCTTATTTAAGACATTAAAGAAAAGATAGAATGTTGTAGAAAATGTGCTTAATAGTTCTACATTCAATGATATATAGAGGGAAAGTGGATGCTAATGATATACCTTACAGCGGTCTAGTTGGATTTATTGAAAAGCTGTTCAGCGTCATCAAGTGAAATAGTACTTAGGTACTAAGAAGTTTGAAAAGCAACTAAACTAAGAAGACATGAGAACTAAAGAGACATGGGAACTTTGCAATGCTTGATTCTAAACTGGATTATTTTGCTATAAAATGCTAGGATTGTGATGTTTGGCGAAATCTGAATGGAGTCTGAGAATTTGATATCAATAACATTATTTCATGATTTTGAAAGGTCTAGTGCGTTGATATAGAATAACTCATTTCTTTATAAGAACTACATTTATGTATGTAGTGTTTGCAGAACATAATGTTGACCTCTCAGAAAACAAAATTTAGTTTTTGGGCTATATTTGCATTATTTCTTTAAGTTTGAGATTATTATTAAATTACACAAAAACTCTTTAAGCAGTATACTTAAATGTTTAGAAACACAAAAAGCAAAACAAAATAAAAGGAATCTAGAGTTTGTACAATTTATATACCTCAGTATTGGGATAACTTTTTGATTAATTTTAACGAAGAATAAATAAATATGATGTTTATTAACATAATCAACCATTTTTTATTCCTTAATGTTGACAATAGTAGGATATACTCAAATGGAGCTTATTGTCTGCCAAATGTTATTAAATGTGTTGCTATTTGAACTTTCTTTACTCATATCAAATTACAATAGAAAATAATTTATTTTTTGATTATCATCTGTATTAAAAATAAAAACATTCTTTTCTCCTTTGGCTTTTCTCTAAGTGAAGTAGTTCAGAGTTCATAGCACTTTATTGAAACGTATTATTTTGATTCTTTTAGTCCATTTATCTAAGAAGTACAATTTAATTTTAGACGATCCAATGGTATGAAGTTTTTTAGCAGTTGCAGCATGGATGGATTTAAACAGATAGTTCTGCAACCTGAACGTAAATGTTTTCAGGATAAAACAATTTCAAAAATGACTTACCAAGGAAAAGCTACAACTTGTGGTAATGGAATTTTGGAATCTACAGAGCAGTGTGATTGTGGCAATGTAGAGGTTAGTGGCAAAGTTTACAGATTATCCTAAGATTTGTTCTTTTGTTATGTTTTGTGTTTATTTTTTATGGAGTCTATAGATATAGATGTGATGTAAATGAGGAAATTTTAAAAAATGTATTTACAATTTTGTCAAATATAAGATAGGTAGATATGGGGCATGCAGCAACTGACTCATCCTAAATTTAAAATGTTTCGAGTCTAAACCCTGGGTGGGTTTGTATCATTTTATAAACATTAGTAGCAGTATCACTTTTTAGTATCATATACATCAGTAGCATCAATAATATCATCATCATCTAATAATCCTTTAAATTCCATCAAAGTGACTACATTGGCTGGCCAAGTTATCAAATGTGTGTTTTAATTTATTTTCTTACCTCCTGGTTTTAGTCCTTGCATTGATGTCAACTTGCTTCCAAAGAATTAAGCTAATCATAGTCTTTGGTTCATTGTCACTTATGATAATGTACACAATTCAATAATGATACATCCATGGCCCAACTATTTTTAGTTTTTCACCCTTTTCTCTATCCAAAAAATAAAATCTATCCATATGTTTTATTTAACAATATCATTTTATACTTTGACCATAGCTTTGAATTTTAGACCATTTTAAAAATGTACAATAATCTTCTGGGAATATTTTTTCATCCCCTATATTACTGACAATGTCCATGTAATTTTGTGTGACTGTAGCTCATTTATTCACTTTTCATGTAATAATTCATTATGTATGGAAATATACAATCACTTATTTTTTCTGTTTATGAGCAGTTGGAGTGTTCATAGGTTTTTCCCCCTCCCATTCTGAAGAGTTTTGTTATGTCTTGTACTTAACTCTTGATGCACATAAGAGTCTACTGGCTACATACTTAGATGTGAAATATCTGGGTTACCAAGTGGGTGGATAATGCCTTAGCAACAGGAAATTTATTTCAAAAATAAATGTGCTGATTAATATCCAATGGCTGTTATACTGTATAACAGATTATTTTATACCTTATTTAGCACATAGTATTGCCAGACTTTGTCATTTTAGTCAATGTATTTGTTAAAATATTATCTCTTTGTGGTTTCAGTTAGACGTTCCTTGATTGCTAGTAAAATTGGTTATATCTTCATAGTTTTACTAACCCTATATGTTTTATTTGCTGTGAAATGGCTGTTCTTTCTTGTGAAAGGTTTATTTGGTTTGTATTTTCATCTATTAAGTATTTTTTCCTTTTTTTTCCTTGCTTTCTTTTTTTTTTTTTCTTCTTGATGTGGAGTTTCCCTCTTGTCTCCCAGGCTTAAGTGCAGTGGCACAATCTCAGCTCACTGCAACCTCCGCCTCCTGGGTTCAAGCAATTCTCCTGCCTCAGCCTCCCAAGTAGATGAGATTACAGGTGCCTACCACCACAACCAGATACTTTTTGTGTTTTTAGTAGACAGGATTTCACCATGTTGGCCAGGCTAGTCTCGAACTCCTGACCTCCGATGACCTGCTTGCCTCAGCCTTCCAAAGTGCTGGAATTACAGGTGTAAGCCACCTCACCCAGCCTACCATTTTTATTTAGATAAGGAATCAATTTGTAGTTCGTGTGTGTGTGTGTGTGTGTGTGTGTGTGTGTGTATACACACCCGTAAACATAATGATATAAAATTAAACATTCACAATTTATTTGAATACTGTGCTTTCTTTACTAAACCATAACATAACCTTAATCTTCAATCAAGTGAACATTTGTGCATGTTTCTGCTTTTGCTCCTCTCGTACCAATATTACACTGTCTTGATAAATGCACATTTCTTATTAAGTTATGGGATTTTGTATTATATATTCCCCACACTGTTTTTCTGGTTAATAGTTGTCTTGAATATTTTGAAACTTTTGATTTTTATTGTAAATTTCTGACTTATTTTTCAATTAGTACCAAAAATAAAGAAGACTGATCTCCTGAAAGGAATTGCACTGAATCTTTAGATATATTTGAGGTATACATTTCCATTTACGTCTGATTTCTTTTTTCTCAGCAGCATTTTGCAGTGCAGAGAATAGATTTCCTGTGAGAAGAAATCTATTTACAAAATGCTCAAAGTAATAGCTAATGGTGTTTGCCAGGACCATTACAGAGTTGACAGGTCCAGCAAGTCATATAAGTCAGGGGGGTGACTATGGGCATGAGCAAAATATGCAAGAGAGTCTTTCTTTTCCTTGACAGTAATAGAGACATCCATATATAAAAAGATGTGGCTAAAGAAAATTATATTAGTGTACAGAACTTTATCTTGGGCAGTGGCTACCTACCTGTAACATCAAAAAGTCATGTACAGGGGAACATGGAAAGTGCAGCATTAGGCTCTGGAGACTTGGAAAGGTGGGAGAGTGGGAGGAGCGTAAGGGACAAGAAAACACCTTCTGGGTACAATGTACTCTATTGGGATGATGAGTGTACTAGAAGCCCAGATGGAACCAAAACTGCACTTGTACCCTCTAAATCTATAGAAATAAAAAATAAGATACTTTAAAAAAAAAAATCTCAGGTTAAGGTTTTCTTAAGAAAAGTTTCGTTAAGGGGGGTACCCATTACTTAGGTTAAGAGCAGTGGTGATAGCCTGGAACAAGATGATCACCGAAGCATTGTGAGTTGACAGGGCCAGCCCAAATGTCCCACAAGTGAGAGACAAGAGTTTAATTTTTTCTCCTTCTACTCTTGACTCCCCAGGGTCAAAGGTGTTCCTTCTCCTCGTGCCATGGTTACTCTTGTTTCATGACCACATGATCAGATAATCAGTGTCTGTAGTAACCACTTTATCCTTTCTCCTTGCTCATGATACAAAACCAAACCAAGTAGCTGGGTTCATCCCTAGGTAGTTTGCCAGTTTGTTTCTTGTATACTTTATACCATCTTAAAACGTCTCCTATTCACTGATGTGTGGGCCCAAAGTCTCATCTATGATCTATGAACAAAAGACTATGAGGTCCACAGTGGAAAGAAAGGATACTTTATTTAGAGGGAGAAGTATTCCACAGACTGGGAAATGCCCTTTCAGGGAAAATCAAAACTGCACTTTCCACAAAAGGTTGGGGGAACTGATACGTATCTTACAGAGTCAGCCTTACTTGCATATTTAAGCAGGGTTGGGGAAAATCTATGAATATTAATGAGGGAAGTCAAGTGCCTGCACAGTGGGTGAAAATATATGTAACATATATTCAGTGTTCACTTTGATGTAGGGTTTTAGCAGGAAAATGAGGTGGCATTTGGTATTTTATATCAAAAAGAACCAGTAGGATGCAAAGATAGTTTGTACACAGTCTCTGTAAATTTCTCAAAACTGTCTTGAGGTTTGTGGCTGTTTAGCAATAAAGGATCAGTCCTCTATCCGGTTGGAGTTATGGCAGGACTGAAAGGTGCAGGTCGGGGGTTTGGGGAGTGTTGACTGGCATTAGCAGTCTATCAAGATCAGTTGGGAAATTTTGCGGTTGTAGTTGTTTCAGAAATGCTTTTCAGGAGCTTGTTTTTGCTTAATTACCAGAGAGAAATCTTAGAGCCATTAATAATACTGAGCTATGTGACTGATCCTCCATTTTGCTAGCAATGAGATTCTATTTTTTGCTAGGTCTCATTTTAGCCACGGAGAGTTCATTTTGTCTGTCTGTTGGAATGTATATTCATTGTTTTCCCTGTTAGTTGAAACCTGCTGTAGGCAGCCTTGATGACCAATTTTTATCATGTCCTATATAGGTGCCAGGATGGCATGGCTACCTGTCCTGAGTACATCAAGTCCCTTGAAGGAACCCATGTGGCAGAAAGACTTATAGCTAATTGAATAACTTAGATCAGGCAGGAGAAAAGGGTAGACAGGTTAAAAATATTTTGTTGGAGGTGGGAGAAAACTGCAATCTGGCAGGAAAATTATTAAAATGTTTTGCAGAGACATGGTAAACAAGCTTGTGGTTGGTACCTGTCAGTGAAATGCTTAACAGACTCCAGTTACACAGGGAAGTTATAGGCATTAGGGTCACAGCTAAAACTCTCTGTTTATGGGAGATTGTAACACTTACTTTTAATTAGCATGGCTGTCTTTGTACATACACACATTCCTGCACCAGAGCAGCACTGTAGGGATGAGACTGTAGCTAGGTTTACAGGTTTATCTTATCTATCAGTTTTGTACACTTTATGCTGCCATAAATTCTGGTTTTAACAGTAGACATACAACAATTGCATATATATATCTCAAGGAATTTAACTATTAGGAAGAAAAGTATGATGAAGACTGTGATTATAATAAGCACTTGAACATCAGCTCAAAAAGCGTTCTCCAGTCTGACAGGAAGCCTACTAAATAGAGGGGGATCAGTAGTTTGTATCTCTCGTAACTGTCGAGCTAGTTTGGAAATTCTTTTTATAGGAACCTCTACTTTATCTGAAGTGTCAATGTAAGTGTAACCATTTACTTGGGCCACTGTGTAGACTCTTCTTTGTTTGGCTAGGAGAAAATTTAAGGTAATTCTAATATCTAGCATTACTTGAGCCAGGGAGTTCAGAGACTTTTTGTTGAGCTCTAAGGCTTTTTGCAGTGTCATTAGCTATCCAACCAATGGTAGTGGGTATGTTTTCTGAATTATAGCTCTAGTAACACAAACTTAAGCACTTAGAAGTAATAGATCTAGAATGTTTCTACCTATATTATCTTTACATACTGTTAACATAGTACTTTTAGTCTTATAATAAAGAGAGAAAGAGAGTCTTTTTGTAAGCAAGCCTGAACCTTTTACATGTAAGCTACTGAGGCAATGGTGTGCCCATCCCTATGCAGGCAGATCAGACCCTATGTCACATATGAACACAATGCCTGGTGAAGGTGCGAACCATGCCCTCAAGGGTGTGTTCACTAATCAAGTTACTCATGGTAAAGGTTGACAGTATTGAATTGAATCATGGATCATTTGAATAGTAGGGACATATCTTTCTTTATTCATTCTAGACTGTATTTATCTATCCAGTAGTT